GCGTCAATGCAACTTTTAAACGGAAAAAAAAAAAAAGAAAAAAAAAAAAAAAAAAAAATTTAAAAAGTCAACGCCGGAAACCGGCGTTGACCGCCGGTCACCGCCGGAATCCGGAAAAAAAATCCGGAAGGAAAAAAAAAAAAAAAAAAAAAAAAAAAAAAAAATTAAAAAGTCAACGCCGGAATCCGGAAAAAAAAAAAAAAAAAAAAAAGTCAACGCCGGAGACCGGCGTTGACCGCCGGAGACCGGCGTTGACCGCCGGTCAACGCCGGAATCCGGCGGGAAAAAAAAGTTTTTGAAAAAAAAAAAATTTGTGAAAAAAAAAAATTTTTGGGTCAAAATTGAATAATTTGTGAAAGTTGGGGTCAAATTGAAGTTAAAGTAAGTTAAGGATGAAATTTGAGCATATTAAAGTAAGAGGGGTTATTTTAGTCTTTTACATAAATCTGGACCATTTGTGGATTTATTGGTAAAGGAGAATATTGTCTGGATCTCTTTATGAATAAGTTCCCACTGATGGGCTTATTTGTAATATGCCCTTATATAAATTTGTGTTTCGAGTTTGACTTGTTTTATATATTATTTGAACATTGAGAAAATAAGAATTATAATTAGATATTTACAATAAAGGGTAAATTACAAACACCCCCTTGAGGTATGGTCAATTTACAAAAAATCCCTCTTTTTTGGATAATTACATCTACCCATTCAACTATGATTTTTTCTTACACCTCCACCCTTATGGTGTCAAATTCAACATAATCATCTAGATTTCGTGGTATGTGCTCTAGTTTGTACTCGTTTTGTGTAAAAATACATTTTTATATGCACCACAATCTGATATATACAAGCCAAAAAATACTTATTATGATCATCTTGCTTCAAAATGTAGAGTTCGAATGGGATAAAACTGGTACAAAAGTGATAATATTCCATATAATTTCGAAGATTCCACTAAATTTGAGGGGGTTTTCGTAATTTGACCATACCTCAGGGGTGGTTGTAATTTACCCTTTTTATTATTTAAAATGTGGATTGGCCGATATTATTGACCAACCAACTTTTGAGTAAACTGAAAATTACTGACCGACCTATTTACAGATTGATCGGTTAAAATTACCTATTGGACGAAAAAATTATCGACCAAAAGAAGCGATTCAAAAGTTTGGCCCAGAAAATGGCCCAACTCTATATTCATCTAACAAGTCGGAAAGCAACTTTATGAGTGTCGACCAAGGTGTCTAGCCAATTTATTTTTTAATAAGTGGATAGATTTCAAATCTTTCTATTTGAATTCATTTCAAATTGTTCGAGTTCAAAATAACGCAGTTTCACCCTCTCTACCATTTCCTCATTTTCCTTCTACTTTCTAACCCTTTTCCTTTCATCCCCTCCGCAAAAATGACAACACCAGAATCCAAAGCCAACAGCGAGTCTTCAGAGCTGAAACGCCCAAATGAATTCAGCGAGTTGGATTCGTCATCGAAGAAAAGGTTGAAAACGGAGGACGAATTGAAGACGCAGAATACGGAATCGGGGAATAATGGGCTGAATACTACTTTAGAAGCAGATGCAGCTGAAGATAAAGGGTCAAGGCATACTATGGAGGATACTTGGGTTGTGCTTCCCGATGCCACCTCCGAATCCCCCGGATTTTTGAGGTTCCCTTTTTCCCATATCTTCCTCATTCCATTTCTGTATAATTAGGGTTTTCTTCCTGAATTTTACAGTTTCTGTATTTATTTTTATATTATATCATATTTATGTGTATGTATTGTCTAATTTCCGACTCCTTATAGATGCGCGTACTTTGCGATATATGATGGGCATGGTGGCCGATTAGCTGCTGACTATGCACAGAAGCATCTGCACAAGAATGTGCTTTCAGCTGGCTTACCACGTGAGTTGGTCTGTTTGTCTCAGCAGTTGATAGATTTTCCAATTTTTATGTTTTCAAAAACAAATATGCATAATTCTCTGTTTATATATATATATATATATATATATATATATATATATATATATATATATATATATATATATATATATATATATATATATATATATATATATATATATATAATTATTTAATAACTCATTATAATTGTGCATGATTGGATTTGGTCATGATTCTTCTGAACAGGGTTCCGGAAAACTGATGAGGCTCTCCTTCAGGAAAGTGTTGCAGGTACTTTGACAGTTTTCGGGTTGTGTTATATTTCCCCTTTTTTGCTCTTGAAATAAATTGCATATGTTATCAAAATTAATGTAAAAACTCAAGAAAAGATTACTGGCCAAATTCAAAGCATTATTTTATTCATTACTCCATATGGGAGACAGTGAAGATAACACATGTTTGTGGATGCCCACTACTGTTTTGAGCTACGCTTTTGGACCTTGAAACGATTTGCATGTCATTTCTGTTGTCTTTGTAGGAATATGTATCTTTATGTATGAACTTCCGATTATTTACCTAAACCGCAGTAAATCGTCTACTTAATAAACACTTCTGCATCAAAGCTGAAAGTCCGCTGATTTTGTATGGTATATTGAATTATGAAATTCTGCTAATTCTTTTAAATTCTTTTTCTGCTAATATAAAGCTCTTAGAACAAACTTTGGTAAAGTCGCCTGTTGCACCTTCTTGTCCATCGATATGTAATACAAACCTTTAGATGGCCTACCTTGATGCTGCTCTATTGTTTCTTTAGTTTCAAGTAATGATGTTCCTCAGCTCTGTAGATGCTGAACAAATTGATATATAAATATTAGGAAGTTAGTATTAGTTTTATATAAATTTTATTTCCTTGTTTAGTTTTTAGGGAGATTTGAATAAATAACTTGTGTGAATTTCTGGAGCATTGTCCTCTCCATACGAACAGCCTACTTGGTGGATTTTATGTTTAAGATTCTGGCATTAAATCTACCTTTGTGTATCTTTTATTCTAGTTTGAGTGTTTATCTCTATTTCCTTTCTTAGTATCTATCGCACAATGTTGGTTTCATTTATACTTTGGTTTCTTTGTAGATGGATGGCAAGATGGTGCTACAGCTGTATGCACGTGGGTATTGGGACAAACAGTAAGTTTGCTTCATTTAATATGTCGAGTAATATGTGTAAAAAACAGTATAGATACTAATTTTGGTGTTGATTAGTCTCTTGTTCTGCTAATAATTTTGCTTAAATAGAACGAAATGCAATGCATTAGGATATAGTATCTGGCATGTTAAACATTCCTTTAATGCATCCAGCGAGGTGGCTATTTAGTTGTGTTACAGTTTATAACTTCATTGAACACAACTGAGAAGGAAAAAGAAGGATCACTCGCGGATAGAGAATTTGAGGAAATTTGTCCATGTGAAAGTTACAAGAATCATATTTTTTTTCATGCATAACACGACAAAAATTACCATAGAATATCTAGTGAATCTAAATCCAGTTTACATGGAATAAAAATACAACAAATCTCCTTTTTTATTTTTATGGTTATATGTCCATAGAAAGTTACTTATTTTGTACTCCATTGAAACGACAAAACTGCTGTTTATTTCCATCATGCTCTTCGGTATTAAAATAGGAAGACAGGCAGTTTTTTTCCTGTTAGATTTTGGACACCACAATGGGGCTGAAAGAAGATATTTACTTGTCGCAATTCAAAGTTTGCTGAAAACAAATGCCATTAGTAATTTCTTTCTTTCTTTGATGGGGGGATATGGGAATGTTTCAAATAAGTAGTTTTCCTACTATTCCCCACTCTTGATACCTTATTAGAAGCTTGAAAAATAAAATGATTTGTTGCCGGATCTGGATAATTTTTCAAATTGAAAAAAGATAATGTTGCTCAAATCATTGATTGTTCTAATGTTGCTTCCTCGCGGGCAACAGTAGGGCCTATTCATATTGTATTTCCACTGTCCCTAAAGAATGACGAGGCTGATTTGCCCGCTCTTTCTTTCGTCTTTTTTCCTTTTTCTTTTTTCATAAACTTTTGGATTTTTCTAAGAAATCAGGGAAGCTGACTTTGCATCACCTTCTTACTGACTTTCTTTCTGTTAAATAATTATGAATGAAAAATTAGTAATTAAATATTTAATGATTTTCCATTATTGAATAAGAAAAATTTTGCAGGACACATGATTAAACCCTTAAACCTAACAGTTCATTGGATAAAAGCAAAACTAAAAGAAATCGCCTTGCAGAAATATATAATGCTTGGTTAATTTTCGGCTTTTTTGTTCACTTATGTCCATTTGTTAGGCTTCTTCACTTATTTACAACTACCATCATATGCTAAGAATGGTTTTGTTAAATATCTTTAAAATTAAATTTAAATGGTATAACAGTAGCTTACACAACAGTGTCTACCACTTCCTTTAGCGCAAGACAGTTTTTGGAAATCTTTCAGGACAGAGAGACTGTTCTTTCTTTAACTTGAATATGTAATATTTTCGTTTTCATGTGCTACTTAGGTATTTATTGCTAATATTGGCGATGCAAAGGCCGTGGTAGCAAGATCAACTGCAGCAGAAGGTTCAGATAGCTCAAGTCCATTAAAGGCCATTGTTTTGACAAGAGAACACAAAGCCATATATCCACAAGAACGAGCACGCATTCAGAAGGTATGCATCACGTATTGTGATTAAATCTTGCAGCCTTAGTTGTATCATTCACATTATCTTTAACATTACAACCATTAGCCATTACGCCTGGTTCTAGCATCACTGATATGGGGAAAAAGTATTTTTTTTCTTAAATACCTTGGTATGTGATTGCTTCTTATAGGACGAAAGTTGGTATATGGAAGTTTCATCTGTTGCAATCTGGGTCGTACATATTTTTGCACAAATTATTATTTCCTGATACTTACGTGTTGTTACAAAAGCCTTGAAGATTAACTGTTGACTCTAGGGATTCATTAGTGGGAGCCTTAGAAGCTAAGAGTGACGGTCTTTTTTCTAGAAATGATTTAGTTTTGAAAACCTTGGAAATTGTAAATAGAAAAAAAAGAAGGCAAAAAACCCTTTCAGGCTGATTTCATTTATAATAAAGTAGTGGAAGGATCGACCCACAGACAATGCTGAGATCTGCAACACGTAAAACATGAGTTTTGCAATTTATTCCTGACGAGTTTAAGCATTAAGTCTTGAAAAGATTGTGAATATGCATTATTCTTTTACTAGATGCAAATGCTCTTTTTGTTTTTTTTTTTTTTTTTTTTTTTTAAATATGAACCTCGTTATGCAACTTGTATTTATGTGATACTTTAAACCTGGGCCATGTAACCTAGGGAATAAATGAAGAAAGAAGAAAAAGGCTTTTATTATTTTTCAACTTTTATAACCCTTATTGTTTGCATGGTATGTATTCAATAATGAACACTTCATCTATGTGCTAAATTATCAGCCTGTTTATTGGCAATGGCATTTGGATTATAAAAGCTGACTAGCTTTGAATGATGTTAGTAGTTTATTGTTAAATATTCGAACGAGTGCAGTTGACACGCTTAGATTGAATCGTGGTAGTAAAGAAAAATGTATTGGTTGAAAGGCGAAAGCACTGAACTATAATTGCTTGTCTATTTGAAGATTGTGCATGTCTGTCCAATATGTTATTGTTGCCTTACCCGTCCAATCGAGCAATATTTACTTAAGATGAATAAATATTAATCTGAGTATAATTTAATTCAATAGGCTGGTGGATCTATCAGCTCAAATGGACGATTGCAGGGGCGGCTTGAAGTTTCTAGAGCCTTTGGAGATAGGCAGTTCAAGAAGGTTGTGCTTTGGCTTTGCTCTTTCCAGTTTCATCCTCTCAGTTTCTACTATGACATGTTTCTTTCCCTCATGCCTTAGTTTATATTGAGTCTCCCAGTTATGCATTTAGCTTCACTTTTCATCTCTATTCTCAAAAGTTTTGCTTTGCTAGGGTGAGTGCACATTTCATATCTTAATAATTTGTTTCAGGTGGGCGTTATTGCAATTCCCGATGTTCATTCATTTGACCTTACTGAGAGAGATCACTTTATAATTCTTGGATGTGATGGCTTGTGGGGGGTATGTCTTCATCTCCATGAATGTTGCCTTTTAGGATTACTGAAATTTGATCAACATGAAATGATATAATTTTCCAACTTTTAGGTGTTTGGACCAAGTGATGCTGTTGACTTTGTTCACAAGCTGTTGAAGGTTCGTTTAACTTTTTGTCCTGTGTTTTTTACTCGGTATTTGGATATCTGAACCCTAAATCTCCACCAAAAGTTAAATATTCAAATGGAAAAGAATTAATTCCTAGGTAACTCGAATATTCCCACAAGTTATTAACTCATTTCCATTCTATAAATTATAAGCTCCAAAGTTCCTATGTTCTTGTTTCTTAACCCACACCTCTTCATTCCTATGGGCTTGATTTTCACAGTGAAGTTTTTAGAATTATAATGATTAATAATGTTTATAAGAGAATCAGGAATATAAATCTGTTTTTACTTTCAATTATTATAAGAAATATTATCTGGTAGCGTTGGAGGGGGTAATCTAATTTAATTTGCCATTTCATGCTATACATAAAATGAATGGCAGGAAGGGTTACCAGTAACGACAGTAAGCAGGCGTCTTGTGCGAGAAGCTGTACGTGAACGCTGCTGCAAAGATAACTGCACTGCAATTGTCATTGTTTTCAGGAAGCAATAGCTATAAGTAGCCAATTTCTCACTTGTTTCTACAGTGGTGTTTGTTTCTTTTTCTTTCATTGTTTTCTTTTTTTGTAATGTAATATCAATGTTTGTCCTATGTGGCTACGTTTTTTTCTGAAACTCGTATCTTGGTAAGTTGCGTTTGCAGCTTGCTCATCATTTGACATGCCTCGAATAGGAGCCAAAACTTTTTTAGTGTTCTATCGCACAATTAAGTAATTTCCCTTGTTGGACTTGGCATACAAGGATGCAGACATCTATGGATGTTCCCTTCTACATGTCTTCGTTATTTGTCAAAACTCTTCAATTCCATTATTTTGCACCTATATTTTTTTACAATTAACGGAAAGATGGTGCTATGTTTAAGTTGAACTATGGCTAAATTTGGCATCTTTTTTAGCTCGAGCTTGAGTTGAATTTTTAACGAGCTCAATCTCGAGCTCAGCTCATTTTTTTTAATTATAAATAATTATGTATATTATTTTATTTCAAATCAAAATAAAAAAGATTGTGAGCTCCTAATGTAGAAGTCCGCTAGTAAATTGCTATTACTTTAGGCCTCGTTTGCTTACCTATATCGGATTACATTGGATTAGGTGAGATTGAATTAGTATCCAATTGATATTACTTTAGGCCTCGTTTGCTTACCTATATCGGATTACATTGGATTATGTGAGATTGGATTAATATCCCACTGACTAAATAAATTATTTAGTCAGTAAGACGTTTGATTCGTTAGATTAAATATGAGATCGGTTTTGTACTTCTTTTCTAACGACTCCCACAGATCCTTAGCGATCTTAATTGCACTATACACATTGTAGTATGAATCATCTAGAGAATTCAAGATGTGGTTCCGACACAAGAAGTCGGAATGGGTCCAAGCATCCCACGCAATTATTGTCTCTAAACTATGAAAATTCATAAAATAGTTCTTCTCAGTATGTATATTTAAAATTATAAAAAAAAATATAATATTTATAAGAGTAAATTATAATCTTTTAATTTTTATTAAATAAAATAGTATCTCTTCAGTTTGTAATAACATAATTTTTTTTTTAAGTTTCAAGATAATTTTAAACAGTTATTGCTCAATATAAACAGTTATTGCTCAACATAATAATCACATGAATCAAATTTGATTCACAACCCAAACTCAAGTTATTCATTGCAAAATTAAATTGATTATTTATGTTGATTAATGGGGTTATCGGATGATCGAGGTCTGATAATTTGTCCAAATAAAAGTGGGTTGTGACAAGTTGTGGTCGGAGAAGGAGAAGAAGAGGATGCAGAGCTGGCGGTGCTACTGGGGCTCATTGAGTCCATCATAGCAATCTCCCTCAGATACTGCATCAACCAATCTCTCCCAGTTGTCATAGTTTCTAGACATTTCGATTTTATCCTAATTCGGATTCGTTATGACTTTATTTATATGATACTCCATCTCGAAGGCTAAACCCTCACCAACCAACCTCTCACTAAATCACATTGTCATGGTGGAAATCCGATGGGTAGTATCGGAATTGGCACTATCGAAGAAATTTTGATCTTTTTGGAAATAAAAAAAATGGAAAATCAGAAGTCGAAATTCGGAAATTGGAATGAAAACAATTGTTCCAAAATCAAAATAAATCATATCGGAAAATTATTAGTGTCTCGTGTTTCCATGCAAAATTCTCCACATTGCGTAAAACCTTCAAAATCTCAATCTAGAGATGTGAAGATTTGCTGTACTCTCTTGATGATTATCGCATTGTAACCGAGATGTGGACCAAGATATATGTCGTATCCACCCTTTATATTAGCCATGCCGACTACCACTTCTTAAATATGTTTTACGTTGTTCGTTTTTTGTTTTAACAACCTTAATGATTTGATTTCTGGACTATGACATGTGCAGGAAACTACATGCTCCAATTTTCGAAGGATATGTTGAAGATCTCCTCTAAAATTGTAGGTCGGCTCAAAATTTTAAAGTTCGAGGACTGATAAATCGTTCAAGAACAACTGACTCACCATTTCTAGAGTTCATTAGATCCTAGGCCGCAAGCATTGCACACACATCCTTGAAATTGGCTCTTGAAAGAAAAAGGCCACTGTTTTGAAAGAAAAAGACTATCTTTTAAAAGACTAAAAGAGATTCCACGCCTTGCTAACAAAATAAACTCCATTGCGGAGTCGTATTCGTCTTAATGACAACATGAAAGAAGGAATTTGTATTTATATGGAATTCATCTTAGTTGATGTGTTTTACCTTGATTTATTTATTATACACTTTACTCCCTTGTAATAAACTCCATTGTAGAGTCTTATTCGTCGTCTTAGTGACAACATGAAAGAAAGAATTTGTATTTATAGTTTTTTTCATGAATGGATTATTATCAACCGATTAGTTGATGTATTCACCTTGATTTGTTTATGTTGGTATATATATATATAACAATCTGCGTAAACGAAAAATACTTACTTGTTTGTCGAAAAGAGGAATTGTGAAAACCACAAAGAACGATCGAGGCTTGCCAAAGCAATTCCCTTAAGACAATATTTCCGGGCTGTCAACGGTGCACAGTCTCTTCCCGGTAGTCTCCCAAGGTACAACGATCGGTTGTCGAATATTTGCACGAATATTCGACCCACGGCGAACTTGAACAATGAACGGAACTTTGACGAAGAGAAAGAAAAATATGAAGAACTATCTCGTAATTGCCGATTAAATTCAGTACATAATTGGCCAGATTCTGCCTTTATTTATAGGTTGTAGAGATCCATTCACAGAGGGTTGCAATGGTTGGAAAAGAAGCAGAAGGTTGTGTCTCTTCTTTTTACGAGTTCAAAAAAGCGTAGGAAAATTAATTGGTCATGGGCCAATTAATTAATTTGGTTTGGGCCAAGTATTTTATTATTTGTATTTTGGTTCAAATAATTTGATTAATTACTAAATGTCCCCAAAAGTAATATTTGTGGACACCTAAACCCAAACTAGTCCTACCACTCGATCACATCGAGTGCACATCTTTTGAACTTTAACCATTTACTCAAGACAATTTTCATTCACTTTACTTCATGATTATGATCAAGTAAATAAATGAAATTAATCTTTACATAATTTAATTAATATTACTCAATATTAATTATTGGAAATCATGAAAATTCCAACAATCCCCCACATGAATAAAATTGTTCTTCCAATCTTATAGCATAAGATCTATTTGTCAAAATTCCTTAGTGAATAGCACAACATCGGGATAGGTGAAATATTTCATCTTGAACCTTCCCTAGTTAAAGCTTATCGGATTTACTTAGCCAATCGGTGAATTATTTCATCTTGAACCGTCGGCTGTTTGTGTAAACCAAGACAATAAACTTAACACCATACTAAACGAACTTGTTCAAATTCTCGGTTGTGTTCGTTTTGGCCCTGAACATCCTGTTCTGCGAGTGCTTTAGAGAATTCCAGCCTTTAAGAATTCTCAACGAGCCGACCCAGCTCACACTAACATAGGTGACCGCATCTATAAAGAGTATCCTACTATACCCCACTTGTAATTTACAAGATATAGACGTCATTAAAAGCAATAGCTTAACCTTTTTGAACGTCGTAGGTTGCACTTATTGCATCATAGGAATAAGATGGAGTTAAAACTCCTAAGTGCTCCATTCATTTAAGTTACACAGAACTGGTTGTCCTATTGAACTTGGTCCGTGAGATCTCCAGTCGCCAAGTTAGGTTTCCGTATAAGGTAACTTAGTTATTTAGGCTTTAAACTTATTCCCCTCGACGCACATTTAACTCTCTCGCTAGATAAACCTTATTAAATGGATCCGCTCGGTTATCTATGGATTTCACAAAATCAATTATTTCATTCGAGAGTAAATGTCTCACATTATAAGTTTACGACGAATATGTCGAGACTTATTAAAGTATAAGAGCAATTATTAATTGATTATATTCAATTATATTGCCTCACTATATCCCTCAATGGATATACAAACATATGTAACTTGTAGTCAAATACCCCCACATTTTGAGATATTTATAGTTCAATTATATATATTTCCATAACTCATAAGGAATGTTCATCTTGTGTGAAACTCTATTTAATATGTCATTAGACTTACAAGGAGTTTCCCCCACAAGTTGTTCGGTGAACTCAAGTTTAATCGTGTCTTTAAAACATGATTTTCCATTTGACTACCCCATTTGATGTGAATAGGGTGCAATGATTTTTCCATGCACACAAATAAATTACTCATATTATCCGCTCTATCGGATTTAAGAAGTTATCTTCTTATTTTGTATTTCACAAATACGCATTTACTACCTTTTTATCAAACTCAAAATTTAAGAATTTTAATTTTATTGAGAAAATACTCACAATATGATTTGACATAATCATATTGCATCGTTTAAATCAAGAACTACCTTATAAAAGTTTAGAAAACAAAGAAATCAAGCACCACTCATGAGTGCTTATTTGAAGTATAAATAAATATTGATTATGCCCAAATTCAACCAAGTCATTGGATTGAAAACAATATTGTTTCAAAAGAAAGAATAAAATATTTATATGATTTAATAATTTTAAATTTCATACAAACTTGTAAAACATAGGGCAATTTTAAAAAATATACTAGTAAAAAACTTGTATAATAAAACCTTGTTTTACACACGACATTTTCCAACACAATAAGTTCGTACAACTCTTATCACAAAATGCAAATAAACTAAAAATTATTAATATAAACGTAGTAGCTTAGTTCTTGCCGATAACGGCTACGTTCGCCTTAAAGAGACCGTCACATAGGTACCCTTTTCCGACGTAGAACCCTCCTTTGGTTAGCACAAATTTTTCCGACTCAAAAGTCAACTTGAAACCTTTCTTGGTTAGGATAGAACCACTGATTAAGTTCTTTCTAATATCCGGAACGTGTAGCACATCGTTCAAGGTAACCTCCTTTCCGGAAGTGAATTTTAGGATCACTTGTCCTTGTCCTTCAACCACAGAATAAGCATCATTTCCCATGAAAAGCTTTTGTTCTTGTTCCAACTTTTTATAGGAGGAGAACATGCTCTTGTCATAGCAAATGTGACGAGTTGCCCCGGTGTCTACCCACCATCCTCGAGTATCGCTCAATAGGTAGGCCTCTGTTACGACTGCCGAAAGGTGCATGTTGTCGTACTCGGAAGTAGCTAAGTCCACGGTGACATTTGCTTCATTTTTGTTGTTTTCTTTGCGGTGGCGGCAATCCTTCGCAAGGTGTCCATTCTTTCCACAAACAAAGCATGCTCCGATGAACCTTTTAATTTTCTTGTTGTTTGGTC